TTGATTTCAACTGGCATTCTTTCAGGAGAACTCGAAATTTTGATTTCTCCTAGTGCAACTCAAAATTTTGATTTCCCCTAGGGGAATTTTAAATCGCCCTAGATTTTGATTTCCACTGCAACATATACATAGATTGTACTTGTATCTTCTTTTCAATATAAAAAATTTAACTAAAGAATACAGACTGGCCTAGTGTCTTAGTCATCTCTTTGAATATTTTCTCTCTCGTGGTTGACAAACAATTTTCTGTTTTTCTCTCTTGGGATTGACTTATGTAGGGAATTGAAAATGTGACAACCATTTTTTCGTATTATACGCACACACAGACAGCCATTTTGCAAAAATTAACTCTCATCGCATTGTTGAAACACGCAGTTCTATAAAAAAATGTTTTCAAGTTTGTTTTTTGAAGGCTTTTACAATAAACTTCTGCTTGAACGAGTGGCAATCTTCAAATTTCTTACGAATTTCAAATAGATCTTTCTCTTAAGAGTATAACACTCGTCTGAACTATAAATTCAAAACGACCTTCCCTATACTATATTAGAACATAACACAGTTTTCAACTCGTAACATGATTTTAAACTCGTACGAGTTCAAAACAGCCCCTCCAGCCTCCCCTATACTATATTAGAACATAACACAGTTTTCAACTCGTAACATGATTTTAAACTCGTACGAGTTCAAAACAGCCTCCCCTACACTATATTAGAACATAACACAGCTTTCAACTCGTATTAGAATATAGCACTCATATGGACTCGTAACGAGTTCAAAACAGCTTTCCAGTGTTATAGACGACATTAGTATTTTTCATCTCGTAACGAGTTTAAAGACTGCTGTGCGCGTTTGTGTTAATTCAAAACCATTCGATCAGCACACAAAGAAATTCAAAGATACTCTCGTCGATTTGATGAAAGAAACTGGAAAAAAATGTTCACCGAAAATCATGTCAACCGATATTGAGCAACAATTAGTTGAACAAAAGCAGGACGCAGAGAAGAAAGGAGAATTCACGAATGTCATCTTGATTAAATATTTAATTATGCTGGTAAAGCGACTTGATGCAATAACAGATTTGCCACTGAACTCACTGATAATAGATCTAATCAATCGAGTAGATTCAATCCACAAGTAAGACTTAAACTTAGAACGGTAAAGTCTAGCACATTTAGAAATAGAATAAATATGTGAAAATTTTGAGTTTTTTAAAATGTTAACTAAATTGCTAATGTTCTTATTTTAGGAAGAAAGAGACACCAATCGAGGTTGAAATTCAAGTTTATGAGCTTTGTCAAAATAAGTTGAACAGTTTGATTGAACAACTGAAAGAAAGTGTATTTTATTTTACGAATCCAAAATTAGAATTGCTTTCAAAACTGATACGAAAGCATACGGAAGAACGAGGGGATGCACGAGGTACTCTTTATGTTAGTTTTTCTCAATCTCTATAAGAAGCTTTCTTTTCTATCTAGGACTGATTTTGGTTCAACGCACATTCTATGCAAAAAACGTATTTGACTACTTGAAAAATCGTGAAGATATGAAAGTAAATAAAACTTACTGCTATTAAATTTAACAATTAAATCTTATTTATTATTCCCCTAGGATACAGTAAAACCTTGTTGGTTAGTAGGACAAAGCGGAACCGATTTCACAAAAACCGTAAATGAACAAGATGAAACATTGAAAGATTTTCGAAAAGATAATTTTCTTTTTCTTTTTTTCTGTGTGTATCTAACAAGATCCGTTCTACGTATAGGCTTGTGTAACGTGATGATTGCAACAAATGTTGTTCAAGAGGGGCTGGATGTCCCACAGTGCTCATATGTCATTCGGTATGAATTTGTATCAAGCGAAATTGGTACAGATGAACTATTCAGAATTGATGCAATATTTTTTTCTTGAATAAAGAAGCATGAATTTTATGCTGGTTTTCTCGAACATTTTACTTAAATCCACAATATTTGTATATTCTATGTGCAAGCAAGAGGACGAGCCCGGATGCCTGAACAGTGCATATTATTTGATAACAACGTCAGGTAACGTGCGCTTTCGTCTATTTCAGAACCAACGGTTGAGCATTAATACCTTATTTATCGTGCCTTCTAAGCTATATTCAGTCTTTATGAAATGATTTTTTAATTCATCGATACAGATTCACAAAATTACATGCGAGAAAGAATTAATCGTTTGAAAGAAAAACAAATGGATGAAGCTTTGGAACAATGGAAGCAAATGTCGCCGTATGAATTGAAACAAAATATCGCGAAGATACAAGTGAATAAAAAGAAGTTTATAAAAGTAGATTTGCTCTTCATTGATGAGCAAATGCTGTTTTTAATTGACCCTGTCTAGTGAACTAAATCCTCGTTAAGCAAACTCTCTGCACTTGTGGGCGTTTTTCCCTTCCTCTTGTTTTTAGGCTATGAAAACTGTCCTGCTCCCAAACGGTTACCTTTTAAATGTTTTATCTTCTTTCTAAAGAAAGAGATCGTGAACGGATGGCAACGTGAAGAAGAACAAACGAATGCTGCTAGTTCAATGCGGACTGATACACCACTCGTCGGTAAAGTATCGTGTCGTTCCTGTGGCTACTATCTTGGAAAATTAGAATGGCTACGAAGACGAAATACATGTTATTTTGTGCAGAAACAACACGTTTTGGAACGTGTAGAAATCGAGTTGAAGCTGGAACCAAAACAAATTCAAAATATACAGATTAATGGTAAACTTGCGTCTGTTTACACTTATATTTTCACATTGTTTTTCTCGTTTGTTTCGTTTTAGGTAAAGTTCGATGTGGTAACACGCAATGTCGTGAAGAACTGGGTGGTGCACAAGAGTTTTTAAATCGAAAAGATATGAAAGAAATTTGCGCATTGAAATGTAATCAATTGAAATTTTCGTACATTAACGAAGAGTCTGGACGAGAAAATATCATTGTTGGCAAGAAATGGACAGAATTACCATTTAGAATAGCCGAACTAGAAACACGGCCACCCAGAAGATCGTAGATTTTGTTCCTTTTTTTCTTATTTAAACAAGGTATACTTTATTTCTGAAAATGGTTCTCGAAAAACCATGGTCCCTAGGAATTTTGCATAAAACTATTAAGTTTAAAATACAAGGAGAGTGGAGAAAGCAACTTTCGTTCTGACTTATCATCTGCTATAGCCAAACAACATATGCGGACTTAAGAAATCAGTCGAACGAAAATACATTTCAATTTTTTTCAACATTCGCGCCATCGTTGAATAAATTTCAAGAGTACCACTGCACCATAACATTTGTCTCGAAACGATGACATTTGTTTGAAAGTTTGGTTAAAATGGTAAAATTAAATTAAATCAACAATTGTTTTCGTCTTCGAAGGGATTTATGTGAAAAGAAAATACTCCGGGGACGTTTGCTCGTACTGTTCTCGGTGGAGTTGCGACCTGATGGAGATTGTATTGAGTGATGCTAATTTCCGAGTATCTACATTCTAGCTGGATATCTAAATATCTAGAATATCTGAATGTCATCTCCAGAGTAATTTCTGTTAGTTCACTCAAAGTCATGTACTCCCTCCCCTTCTTTTACTTTCTGTCAGTTGACTACGCTGGTACAAAGATATTCAGATAATTAGATATTTAACCATACAGATATTCGGATATTCGGTCCTTCAGGCCCATTTCTGGAATAACAGCTACTCACGCATACGCGGGTCACGTCATCTATCCCAAAAAACGAACATGGCCCGCCACTTATAAAAGTTACCCTATCTCACCTGCTTTCAAAATGCTTGTATTCGTATTATCTAGCATCACTTTGTGAATATCTGAAAATCTAAATATGGGCCCATCAAGCATACGCACAATATTTTCGTTTTTCAATACTAATAAGCACCATATGAATATCTAACAACCTAAAAAGAACTATATTCTAAAATGTAAGACGACTCAGACACGAATGGGAAAACACGATACAGAATAAACAATAAACAATGATGTCACAGGACGACATGATGAGATAGTGACTACATGAGAGATACAGTTCCTGGCAAGGAAATGGTTCTTTTACATATCAACGCAATCGATTAAAGGCGTTGTAGCATCTAGATCCGCTTTAGGTATCATGACCTAACAATAGGTGTGAATGATGCACAGTGGGCATTTCCTCATAGAGCAGGCGGCATTTTTTGCCGACATAGTTTTTTTGAATCCAAAAGCACTTTTTTATAGGTTTTCGCATACGGTATTTCCAGCAGTGTGGCAAAGGTGAGTCGT